CAACCACCTAAATGACCTTTATTTCTAAGAAGCTTTTCATACCAATTATATAATTATTTTTCACACCCCATGGCCCTGTTTTATATTGTGATTTTTTTAAATTTGATAACAATACATAAATTTGTATTCACTAAAAGATACAAAATTATATATTATAAGTGAAATGCTATTTTTAGGTTTTTTACAGTATGTTGGCATTTCACTTTATCATGTTTATTCTATGTTTTGCAATATTTAGTTATTTGATATACATGATTGGGGATTGTGTTTTAAGTTGACAAATACTTAGTAGCTGGCACACCCAAAATACATCCTGATACTCTTGGCATTGACAATAACTGTTATTGCATATATATGTACACATGTTCTATAAAGTAACTTGACATTTCTGTTGGAGCCTGAAAGTGCATTTTTTATATTTGTATACTCAGAAAAACACGGTATTTCATTTCCTTTATCATATTATTAGATTTCAGCAATTGAATGACTGGTGGTTTCATTCAATAATAAGATTTGGAAGTTTTTAATTTTCTGTTGAAAAATAGGTAATCTAGTTATCTTGTTAAATACAGACAAGACAACTCATGGAGAGTGTACATGGTGGATGGGTATACTTGTCATATGCCAATCTCTATATCTCTTTAAGGCCTGATAAGTTCTGAATGATTAAAAACAGAAACAACTACATTTTATACATTTTTTTTTCTAATTCCCTTTTTCTGAAATGAAACAACACATAATAAAAAAAAAACAGGATGACAGGTTTGTAATCACTGTAAGGCCAAAGGTCGAAATAGATTTATAAAATGAAAAACCTACAAAGAAAAAATACAATTCTGACATTAATTTGTTCACGAAAAGATTTTTACTTTTTCACTCAGTCTCTAAATAAAGCCCTGATTATATTTTTCTTAATTTTTATTACCTTGTTATATTGCTACCTACATACAGAGAAAAATAACATGTTTGGCGAATATATGGGAAGCCTTTTTTATAGAGTACCTCGATATTTCCATTTGTAATAAACATTGTCAGAGGTATCATATGCCAGTGAACAAGCGTTGTTAGATTTCAGTGTTCATCATTAGACTTCAGAAACATAATATTTTTTTTAGTTATTGCATATATAAACATATGTAACACCCATTTAGAATGGAAAAAAATCTTTAGTTCACAGATATAACTGACAATGGCTCTTAACAAAAATTCTCTAAAAATGTTACTCTTGAATAGAATATATAAAACATGTACATTTTATACCCATAATCTTTATAAAATATTTGTTCATATAGATCTACAAAGAAAAAAAAAATCTGTTTCTGAATCATTGAATGATGAATCAAAATGAAGTTTTTATGAGTATTCAAGAATAACACTTGATTCTTTTAAGGAGATGTATGCCTTGAAACAGTAATTTCTATCAAAGTATGAAAATATGGAGGTAAACATGCAATCAGTGAAAATGCTGCAACATTTTTCCCCTTCATTGCTGGAAATTTTTCACCTATTTTTGGGATCAGTATTTTTTCTAATAATTGACTAGTTCAAAACCCCTCACTTTATGTAATTATTTTTTACCACATACTTTTTTTCTTTCTTCTGAAGCTAATTGTGTGTAGTATTATAGTTCAAAAGCAATGTATCTTTTTTTTAAACTGAATGTAATAATTGGCAATTTCCCTTACAACCTCCATGATTTCTAGATGATTATAAGAAAAAAATTTGGAATTTTTCGATTAAATAGTGATTTACTTTGACAGACATAAAGTCTGTAATACTTTCTCTCGCTGTTTTGGTCATGAAACTTGACAGGTGCCCTCATTCCAATGATTAATTATAATTTCCAAAATTACTAAAATTGAAAGAAATGCTTAGTTTCACTCGTTTCTGATCAGCCAACCCTTGAACGAGTTTTCATTCGAGTTATCTACCTTTGGCCGGTCGCTAATTTTGAACCTGTTGAATTGACACACGGCCGGTTTACCTTGCGTTGCCATTCCTTGTGTCATTTCAATTTACATTTATTTACTGAGAAGTGTCACGGCCGCGGCACGTTTTTTTAATCTTTGCCAATCAAATAATCAAGGAAATTCTGCATTTTCGTGTTTTAAAGAATAACGTAGTGAAAGTTTGAAACCTGCCGTAACAAATGATATATTTGTATGAGCATGGTAAATACTTAAAATATCTTTACGCCGTCGATTTCGTGGCGTCATTGCCGTTGCTAAAAAATGTCATTTGTTAACCGAAAATCACGTGACCAGAATAATTAAATCGATGCCATTATGAGATTTGCTGTCCGGCTGTTCGTCTGCGCACGGATCTGGTAAGGCAACTCATTCCAGAGTGTAGCTCCAGCATACCTTAATGAACGAAGACCAAAATGTGTGTGGTTCTCTCCTGTGGCAAAGCAACAGTTTGCTGCTTTATAAAAGAGTTAGTAGATATAAGAAGATGTGGTATGAGTGCCAATGAGACAACTCTCCATACAAGTCAAAATTTATAAAAGTAAACCATTATAGGTCAAAGTACGGTCTTCAACACGGAGCCTTGGCTCACTCCAAACAACAAGCTATAAAGGTACATTTTAAAAACTTAATAATATCATGAAGATACACTGATGACTCTTCGTGTAATATGTTCAAGTGTCTATGGCCATCGTTCGTATACGTCTTATTTCTAAGGAAGGTAAACCAGACTTTAGCAAAAAAAGTTTCATAGTCACTTCTAACATCTTCATAGATGAACTTCAAGGCACGTTCTTGTATTTTTTCCATTGTATTTAGTATTACCATCCCTACAACCACAGGACCAAAGATTTAGCAATGCGATACACCTTTATAGATATTTGCCCTGTACTTAAAATCTTCTAATGACCTTTTAAAAACCAAGCATAACATAAGTCAAAACGCATATAAACGTTGTATGCTCGTATCTCGTTTATTTTCTCTATCCTCCAAATATTTAAAAAAAACGCACGTTTACTTTACATTGTAAAAAGGTTCAACTAAAAAAAAGTCAAATTCAAAAAATGGGAAGTCCATCAAAACAGACAAAATCAAACGCTGTCAATCAACAGAACAATTGAATAAGAACTGCCATATTCCTGACTTGGTACAGGCATTTTCCGAAGAACATAGATGGTTAAACCTGGTTTGACAGCTAGCAAAACCTCCCACTTGTATGTCAGTTGTTTATACTTCTGTTATGTTGAACACAGTTGTGGTGAACTACATTAAGCGGGCCAAATAGAAATTTTTAATATCTGACCAAGCAAACGGATGATTATGATATGTCCTTTCAATCTGCAGTTAACGGGCTTTTACAACAAATATGCTTACGTTTACTTATTAAATGCATTTGAATGTAGCCGCGCAGTTAATTTTTGCTTTAACATTTTTAAAAAAATACATTTTTATATCTAATACAAATTACTTTTCATGTTATAATTTGCATATAAAATTTTATTCGATTATCGTGAAATGTTAGTCCAGATTACAACAATTCAATTTTCTTCACTTAAACTGATTTTCTTCATGTTTATAAACTTCTTCTTACCTTCAAAATGAAAAAAAAGTGATGTAAAAAATACCAAACTCCAAGGTACATTCAAAACGTGAAAAGTTCATAAAACCTTACAAAATCAAACGCTCGACTATGTCGACAAATAAAACGAATGCAATTCAACTGTCATATATAAAGACAACAGAAGTATACCTGTGTTCAAAAGTCATAAATCAATTGAGAAAAAACAATTCCAGGTCACAAACTAAAACAGAGAGAAACACATCAACAATAAAAGGAAAACAAAGGAACAATAGGAACACTGAGGTGCAACAAAAACAAACGCCAACATACATAGAAACGACCTATATGATAACAACTGCCATATTCCTGACTTGGTACGTGACATTTTAAGAAAAAATGGTGGATTTAACCTGGTTTTATGGGTAGCCAAGCCTCCCGCTTATATGACAATGTTAAAAAAATATCGCTAAAATGACAACACTACGTGACAGATTCCTGACATGGATAAAAATTTCTTCAAAGATATTCATACCTGCAGACCATCAGCTCTCTTTTTTTAAATCTGCTGTGGAAATAATTTTACAAGTGGACATTGATGATACTTTAGACAGGGAGATTTGCTTTTATTTATTAGTAGAAATTGGCTTTTAACTAGCTATATAGCTTTTACTACCTGAGACTACTCTTACATTGGTGCTTTTGTCTATTGTTTAACTCAGTTGTTTTCGTGCTCGTACCGATCTATAGTTAAGTGATTTGCTAATGATGTTTACAGTTCTTCTTTTGTGCTGTTACAAAACTGCCAAAGGTTCGGTGGGGGTTGAGTGCTCTCGAACATGTTATGTGCCTGTCCCAAAAAATGACCCTGTAGTTCATTTGTTGTCGTTGGTTAATGTCTCTCATATTTGTTTTCCTTAAATTGTTTTGTTATAATTAGCCGTTAGTTTTCTCATTTGAATCGTTTCACATTTTTCATGTCCGGGTATTTTATAGCCGGCTGTACGACATGGGTGTTTCTGTTTGTTGATGACCGTACGGTGGCCTATAATTGCTTACATCAGTTTTATTTGAACTCTGGTGGTTAGTTGTCTAACTAGCAATCATACCATATCTCCTTATTTATAAATCAAGGTATGTGGATTTTTCAGCACAGAAAAATAATGTATAATTTTGACATGACATGATTTTTACTTTTTTTGAATTTAAGACAAAATATATAAATGCTTGGAATTGCAGATTTTAACATAGATACAAATGAGACTATGAACTAGTGTTTTTTTTCCTAAAGGAGCAGTTTCTGCAAAAGTGAACGACCGTCTATTTCTTTTTCATACAGTTACATATCATATTTTTTTATAGATTGATTAGGATTGCCAGTTGGTATGATGACGAGATTGTTGGTTCTCATCGAATATTTTCTCAGTTCTTTCAACATAAATTAGTACCATGGCATAACAAGACTGCTTAAAGTAGATTAAAATAGTGAATTAAATCATATATAGCATATACGTTAATAGAAAGTCATTACAACATCATTTCATTTATATTTTTGAAAAATTAAGAATTGCCAATGGTGTTTTTTCATTTGAAAATATGACATATTACTTTCAATTTTAAGAAGCAGATATGTTATTTGTAACTATGTGACTTTTCTGGGAAAAACAATTGTTTATTCGTTTTGACACATCATGATCAACAACATACAAGATAATGAAAATATTCTACTGGTATATCTACGCCTGGTTCAAATTTCTATTGTAACAAATGAATAGAGTTATGATATTACTAATCAACCGCGAAATAGATTATCAACAAAATAAGCAAGTATTGTCACAGTGCAGTATATCAAATCCTTTTATTTCCAAAGAAATTTTTAAAAAATTACTATACAAACAATAAGAAATTACAGTTATAGATTGAAAACACAGGATGTAGTATAAGTAATTGGAATTTCAATTGTTAATCCATCAATTAAAGACTACATTAATTCAATCTATGCTCATCGATATACAAAAGTCAGTATCACTAAATATCTTTTCAATCTTTTCACGTAAATGAACTTTTGATTAATATTTCAAAAATAAATAAATATAAAAACAAAACGAAACGAAACGAAACGAATAAAAACAAAGAAAACTATCAAAAGAAATAGATAATAAAAAAAATGAAAGACGACATATATTATATGTATTATTGTATTATAGCAAATTAAAACGACACCATTCGTATTCAGAAAATAAACAGAAAAGTCACACAAGTGCGACACAATAAACATGATATAGTGGATGAAAGTATATTACAACTAAAAAATATTACCACACACATATGAAAGTATATGACATTAAACATAAACAAGTATATCACAAAAAACAGATAGAAGAGTATTACCACAAACAGATAAAAGTATACTACAACATACAGATTAAAGTATACTATTATGAATATAATTTCAACATATGAGTATTGACCAATGTCTTTCTTATATATTAAATTACAACAACAAAAGAATTATCAAAATACATTAAATATACAATACAAAGTAGATGCTTGATTTTCATCAATTTGAAGTCAACGATAAGCAATTTTTTCAAGATGATATATCATAATTTGAAAATTTAAGGATGTTCGCTTCTCTTGTTTTAGAATTTTTGCCAGAACCCTCTGGTTTTATCCATGTAGTGCCATTAAAAACATTTTGCCCTATAACCCCTACTTTTCTTTTCATAATATCATTACAAAAAATTTAAAAAGCCATATTTCAAAATGTTATAAAATCATTGTTATTTTTTCATAGTTTTTAAAAGAAAAAAGGTGCCAATGTTAAATCTATAAAAAATCTAGGGAGAATCATTTCCCGCCAAATTTCCAATTGCTTATGTCTCAAAAACAAGCACATGGACCCTTAATTTTTATCTGCTTTTTAAGTTCCTTTATGTATATACTATCAATTTATTATAGTCTTTCAAAAAGCTTGTTATTTTGAAACAGAGTAGCGAACATCCTAAAACTAACTCTTGTAGATAAATAAAGGTATACAATCACTAGGCTGACTTGCGTATAGAAATGTGGTCACCGGGACCTCTCCAATTGTGACAGAAAAACCATGGCTAAAGTAAGGTGTCCAATTAACTGCACGGGATGTATAAATACAGAGCTACATCCAGTCTTTATGGGATCCGTTGCCTCGTATAAAGAATATAGAGGTCTTTACAGTGTATGTGTTCTGCCCCTATGTAATCTTCTTATATCTATACACTTATTTTTCAGTGGCTGGTCAAAATTGATACAGAACCTGTCTATTGAATGTTTGATAATTTGTTCTCGTCATGAAATAATTCTCCTCGGACGTAAAGTAACCAGTAATCAACAATCCAGTCATATACAAGTAATTTTAGTTCTTTCATAAATTAATATTTCCGTAATCAGCCAATATCCCTGTTTTCACAAAAAGCAGTTATTATATATCAAAGGCACACAATAAGAAATCTATTTTAAATAAATTACTGTAGATGTACAGAGGAAAGTTATTTACAATAGTGTATGAGAAAAAACCATACAGAGATATATAGTCTGTTTATATCTGTTACAAAAACTTTTAATATACAAACTAGAACTGTGGATTCATTATTATTCATTGAATACCAATTTTCGTGGTTTTTGTGGGTACAGGTGAACCACGAATTTAAATGTTCAACGAATTACAAAATTTCTATTATGTTGTATGCAGACTTTGGCAAAATCACGAAATCACATATCCACGAAAAGGCAAGTTTTCAGCAATCCACGAAAATTGATACCCACGAAAATAAATAAATCCTCAGTACTTCGTGCATACCTCAACAATTGATATAAATAACGAAATGCGCCTCTGGCGTACACAAAGCTAGGCCTGATATCTGTGATGAGTTTATTATACAAACGTCATTTCTAAAATAGACCATCTTCATAGTTGTTAACTTGTTTCTCATTTGGTCTCTGGTGGAGAGTTGTCTCATTTGAAATCATACCACATATTTTTTTTTTACATCTTTACAACTCTTAGATGCTATCAACATGCCATGCATTATAAAATGATTCACACTTCGAATATTAAAACAATTACAAATGGCAATCGTCATTGTAGGAAGTTTACTCTCGACATAAAAAAAACAAATGACGTTTAACGGGTTATTTTTTGTGGGTGAAAAATGTCAGTGTTTTGTATTTTTGCAGATTCCAAATTTCTGCGAACTATTTTGACAAAACTGATCTGTGCTATATCTAAAGGTTCTAAAACGGATCGAAAAACACTGAAATATATTTATAAATCAATTATAAAGTTTTTATATGAATAAAGAAATACGAAAGTTCTTTTATTTGATAAAAAAGTGGTCTTTGAATAAGCATGCATTATGATAGTAAGTAAACTTTTTTATTTTGGAAAGATAACATTCATAAGGTAATAAAAGGGGACATATCATACATATTCAATTATACTTCTAAAAATTGTTAATTCTGGTTCATCCGCTAAAATAAGCGAAAATTAACAACAAAAAACGCTATAATGTTTACTTGTTATACATAACATTGATTCTGAAAACACTGAAATATTGCTTGTAGTTTTTAATTTCGCTTTTTTTCTCGGTGAAAGACGTTGATACACAAAAATAAAACTACCACAAATAATTAACTTTGAAGGTGGTCGTTTACTTGACTCGAGGTTAAGTGAATAAAGCAAACACAAAAATGTATACAAACAAACGATTTAAAAAAAAAACAACAAAATACATTTACTTTAAAAGTACAAATGCAAAATCAGGTAGAAATGACACAATTTCTCATTGCCAAATAGATAACTAAAATTCACAAATTCAAAAGAGAGGATAGTGATTGCATTGTTATTTCAAAACTATGTTTTACCGTAAGGTGAAATGCATCAATTATTATTTCTAAGTAACGATTATTATCGTGTAAATGTCACATAGATCAAACAATGTATTGATAAACAGTACTTCCCACGGATTCCATAGCGCCCAGAAAAAAAATGTTCTTCCTCTCTACAAAGTGTTCATGTATTTACAATTGTACTCCAATTGTTTTCGGAATGATATGAATATGATATTAATCTTCGCCGTATTATGTTAAAACGTAAATGTATACAGACGAAGACAGTAGTTAATATATAATATATATATACCCACCTTAGACAATCATCTAGTATCAAAATATACTTTAAATTAGGTGTAGATAATTTCATTACTGTCACTCCATTCGTATACTAACCAGTTACTCACATTACATGTAAGTACGGATCAATTAGGCACAATTAATGCAATTCCAGACAGGAAATATTTTTAAACATGTCATACTCTCTTTGCACATACTGACAAATAAATAAATGAACAGAAACGGCGTATGCTAACAAACTACCAGCTTGACATGCATATTCAAACCTACATTATCAACACAGGTCCTTTAATGCACATAATTAGAATAACGGAAACCTATCTTAACATGTTTACAACATTTATGTTGGTACTTCTTTTTTCCAGTTGTCAAAATATCTAAGAAAGTAGGGTTTATTGTAATGTTTTCAAACGGAGATTTTTCTCAAGAAGATTTACAATGTCCTTGCACTTTGATTCACGGACAATATCAAGTGGTGTCTGGCCTTTCTTATTACGCATTTCAACTGTTGCATTCCATTCGATTAATAGTTTTACAATTGTGAATGATTCATTACGTTTCTCAGGATTATTCAAATGAAACATGTAAAATGTACAAGCCGCATGTAGAGGTGTTTGTCCATTTAATTCACACTGACTGACATCAGCCTTGTTCTGAAGTAGCAGTTCCACTATAGCTCGATGACCTTCTTTACAGGCCGCATACAATGGGGACGCCCCACTACTGGCACAATGTGAAACATAAGCATTATTTTGAAGTAACATCTCTACCGTATTGAGGTGTCCTCTTTCACAGGCAACATACAAAGGAGACTTTCCGGCATTGTTGCAATGAGTAATATCAGCATTGTTCTGAAGTAAAAATTTCACCATATTTGTATATCCTGATAAACAGGCGACATACAATGGAGAATCTCCATTACTGTTACATTGATTAATGTCAGCATTATTCTGTAGTAACACTTCCACTATCTCTGTATATCCTCCTTTACATGCCGTAAACGATGGAGACTCACCATTAATCTCACACTGAGAGACATCAGCATTGTGCTGAAGTAACAGATTCACTGTTACTGTATGTCCCCCTTCACAGGCCACATACAATGGAGACTTACCGTTTCTTGAACAATGAGAGACATCAGCATTGTGTTGAAGTAAAAGTTCAACTGTTTCTGTATATCCTTTTTCACAAGCCGCATTCAATGGTGGTTCTCCTAACTTACACTTAGATAAATCCGCATGGTTCTGAAGTAAAAGTTTTACTGTATCTCTTTGTCCTCTTTTACATGCTACATACAATGGAGACTCTCCATCGTTGTTGCAATGAAATACATCACTCTTGTTCTGGATTAACAGTTTCGCGGTATCTATTTTTCCTCTTTCACAGGCCACAAATAATGGAGAGTCTCCATGACTATTACACAGAAAGACATCAGCATGATTTTTAAGTAAAAGTTCTGCAGTATCTGTGTATCCTCCTTTACATGCCACATACAATGGAGACCCACCACTTGCCTCACACTGAGATACATTGGCATTGTTCTGAAGTAATAGTTTCACTGTTTCTGTTTTTCCCCGTTTACACGCCAAAAACAATGGAGTCTCTCCTTCACTGTTACACAGAAAGACATCGGCATTGTTCTGCAGTAAAAGATGCACTGTATCTGTGTGTCCTTCCTCACAGGCCACATGCAATGGAGAATCCCCCTTTTTATTAGAAAGAGATATCTCAGCATCGTTCTGCAATAAAATGTTCACTGTATCTGTATGTCCTCCTTTAGATGCCACATACAAAGGAGTATTTCCCAAATTGTTACGTGTAGATATAGCAGCATTGTTCTGCAATAACATTGCCACTATATCTGTATGTCCTCCTTCGCATGCCACATACAATGGAGACCAACCACAGTTATTACACAGAGAGACATCGGCATTGTTCTGCAGCAAAAGTTTCACTGTATCTGTTTGTCCTCCTTTACATGCCACAAACAATGGAGACCAACCACTTTTATTACGCTGAGATATATTGGCATTGTTCTGCAGCAAAAGTTTTACTATATCTGTATATCCTCCTTCACTAGCAACATACAATGTAGACCAGCCACTTTTATTACAAAGAGAGACATCGGCATTGTTCTGCAATAAAATTTTCACAGTAGCTATATGTCCTCCTTTACATGCAACAAATAATGGAGACCATTTCCACCTGTTAGTCATAGACACATCAGCATGGTACTTAAGTAACAATTGCACTGTATCTTGATGTCCTCCTTCACATGCCACATATAAGGGAGACTTTTTATGCATGGTACATTGAGAGACATCAGCTTTGCTCTGCAGTAATAGATTCACTATATCTATATGTCCTTCTCTGCAGGCAACGTACAATGGAGACTTCCCAAGCTTGTTACACTGCGAAACATCAGCTTTGAAGTACAGTAACAGCTTCGCTATATCTATATGGCCTCTTTGACATGCCACATACAATGGTGACTCTCTATCAATATTACAATGAAAGACATCAGCATTGTTTTCCAATAACAGTTTAACTACATCCGATTTTCCCCTTTCAGCAGCTTTATATAGAGGTGACCTTCCTCTGTAGTCTTCCTTGTTGACGTTACATTGAGTGGTAACAATCAGAAAATTAACTATATCAAAGTACCCACAAGATGCTGATTCGATTAAAGGTGTCGTGTGAAATAATTGTTCATGATCTGCTCCTTTTACTTCGCACAATTTTGTATCTAGCGTCTTAAATATATCTTTTGCTTCGTGACTTTTTCTCAAAAAATTGATTAATTTATCTCTAAACGACTGATAAATCAATTGTTTGTTATGGAATGTACTAGTAATAACAAACTCTTTTAAATCACGTAACAATCTTTCAAAATATTCTTCCTCAATGTCTTCCGATAATGTAATTAGATCATCAGTTTTCTTGTCTTCTGTTATAGATTTAATTATAAAATGATCCCGTATAAATATAGATGGAGCATGTTTTAAAAAACACTCTGTAAGGCGCTGACCACAGATTACAGCTGCCATTTTATATATTTTGTCGTGTATGATTCTATACTCTGTATTTCTTTGTTTTAAGTATGTTCCATCTAATGTAGTAAAACCACATTTTAAAGCGTTTCTTGACAGTTCTTTAAATATGTCAATCTCAAACTCCTTAACAATGTCTTCAAGTTTGCATTTTATTTTCTCTGGAATTGTTTTTAATTTTAGCCAATTTGTATCGAATCCATCATAGAATATGATACAGAGGATAAAAGCACAAAATTGGCTACTGTTTGAAGAAATGATGTGCTTTATGTTTTTTGTAATACTATCCACAGGAGCTGTAAATTGTTGTATAACTTCGTCAGATGATTTGTTGTTTGACAATTTACAGAGCAATGGAAAGAAATCCACATCTCCCATGACTTCTATTGCATTGTTAATTATGTCATCTGGAATGTACTTTTGCGCTATAAACATTCTTTCTTCTTGAAGTAGACACAACTCTGATGACAATAAATTGCATTCCTGTCCTGTTAGCGACGTTAAAAGTTGAAATTGTGAGTCTTTATATATATGCAATCTACAAGAAATCAGTAATTTTGGACTTGATAACTTTGAATCAGTGTCATCATTTTTATTTGCAACATCTCTTTCTGCAATTTTAAAATTTTTCTCCACTTTTTCTGAATAATGGATCCACAAATTTAATACCTGTTCGTTGATTGTTTCTTTTCCACAAATATCATCAACAACGAACGCTTGATTTTTGTTTTCATTATAATAATTAAGAATGTCTGTTGGTCCTATTGAAACAGGTATTATCTCATATCCAAAACTGTCACGTAAGTGTAAGGCTGTATGGTGTATGTTTGCAGATTTACCACAACCCGAGCTCCCTGTCACAACAATACAGTTATTTAATGGTAAACAACCCAGTATGTGACGTGTTGCTCTGGTTTCAACAAAAGTAGTTTGGTCTTGTTCCCATTCGCTTATTTCTTGTCGATGTTGAGCTACGAAGAAAAGAAATGATAATAAATGATGCTTTGTTTTGGAAATTAGATTTTGAAAATAAAGCATATTCGTTTCCTGTAAGACAGATAGTAACACTTTTACACGAGTAACTAGATTTATCTCGTTTGATTTACAAATAATGGCTAAATAATGCGTTCAAAAACCTTAAGATCGATGCTATTGTATTGGAATAGCGTAACTTGTTTTATCTTATGTAGAAATGTTCTGTGATAATAAATTGCCTGATAGGCAGTAACGAGAGGGAAAAAAAGTAACATAATCGTCTGCCTGGAATAAAAATTTCGTATTAGGCCTATTCATTTACGTACATATGGGTGCAGTCATAACGTGTACACAAGTTAACTTTGAGTAGAATTGGTGACCGCTTTCCAAGTTAACTTACGAAATTTAAAGCAGACAAGCAAATTGACTTCATCGACAGTAGACCAGCCTTAGGTCTGCTTTTGAATGACTGTTGTACACCCTTTGACCAGTCTGTTTCAGACCAGACCTGTGGACAGGTCTGCTTTTGACCAGTCCAGTATCATCAACATGATAAAATTTAGTGATCTGATAATTAAATAGATTCATTGCATTGAAAATACATTTATTTGTTTCTTGTGTTTCAAATGTACAGTCAGTCCATTATGTACAGTTTGCCATTTAAATCTTCACATAACAATATATTTAAACATACGAAAGAATATGCTTTGAAGCGCCTCGTGAACAATACAACCCACCCTCCATCCCTTTAATAAACAGAACTGCTGCTGTTTTAGTTTATTTTTCAGAGTGCATGGTGAACAGATCGATATGTATTGAATATTCCAATTAGATTGTCTTGTATCCTCAAAAATTTTAGACGTTTCATCATTCAGCGGCAGATACAATGAAAACCGAAAATTCAAGACATTTGCAGTAATAGATGAAGAAAAATATGTTTATCGTCATGGCATTCAGTTCAATATGGAAAGTGCATTGGATGTCATCATCAACATGATTCAATTGGCAGTGATTTATTCAGATATTGTTTATTGAACTGTTATGGATCTGCCCAGCAGCTAGAAATTATTTTGCCTTTACTGTTTTCCCTTCAGTGATCAATTGTCATCAAGGTTTAACTAAGGTTGTCCAGTTTGTTGATGTTTGTTGTTTTTTGGTTTATATTGTTGAATAACTGCCATGACAAATAATCAGCAAAATTTTAAATTTTCAATTTGTTTTTGTTCATCGTATTTTTACGATGGAAGAAAATAAAACAAATCTTTAGTAGTATATTCATTACGCAGATTGAATATGCAATATATATATATATATATATATATATATGTATATATATATATATATAACGTGCGTTGCATGGATTTTTCATCGCTTTGTTTTCCTAGGCTTTACGATGTCCAATCGTAAGTTTTATTATGCCCGGATGTATAAGTTGTTGTATAATTCTCCGAAGGACTTTTAAACTTTTAAAACGTCTCGTCAATTTCGGCAGAATCATTGCTACCGATTTATGTTTTTTTTTATCATAATAAAGTACAAATATGGTAAGTTTTGGATGATGTGGTCAAATATTTAGTCAAACAATTCATCCTGAGATATGAAAACTACTGATCTTAGTGACGGCTTGGTATTTTGAATAAACAATAGAACTCCTGGCACTCTTAATTGGTGTGGACATAATTACTGTTTACCATTTGTGTCATACAATCCATCCTAAGTAAGGATGTTCGCTACGCTGTTTAAAAATAACATGCCTTTTAAAGACTTTGATACATTGATAGTATATATATATATGACAAAAACTAACAAAGCAGAAAACAATGCAAGTTCCGTGTCCATGTCCTTGTTTTTGAGATATACGTCATTAAAAATTTTGCAGTAAATCATTCTCTTTAGATTATTTATACATTTAACCTTGGCACCTTTATTTATTTAAAAAACTATGAAAAATAACAAGGATTTTTTTAAGATTTTCAAAAAGGCTTTTTTAAACTATATCTTATAAGATTATGAAATAAAAAGAAGGGGTCAGCGGGCAAAAGGGAACAAAATTTAATATGCGAAATTCATAAAGTATGGAAAAATCAAAACAAATATATTTTTTTTAAATGTGGCACTTATTACTGTCTTTAACACCTGAGATCACCCCCAGTTTTTATGTGGTTCGTGTTGCTCAGTTTTTACTTCTATGTTGGGTTTTGCTTACTGTTCTTTGTCTGTTTGTCTTTCTCTTTTTTAGCCATTGTGTTGTCAGTTTATTTTCGACTTATGAGTTTGAATATCCCTTTAGGATCTTTTGCCTCTCTTTTATGTGAAGGTTTGACAAAGTATTTGTGTTTGAAAACGTTTAAACTAAGATATAATTTAATACTTACTATTAAACAGAATTACTCCAATTAATAGTAAATTAAGGAAACATTTTACTCTAAATTATTTCTTCTATCCAAGTTTCATGAAACGCCACGACAAATTGATAAAGTGATTGTTATCTCAAAAATAATTGCAATCACAGACTGATTCTGAAAACTAAAATGTTGAGACCGCCGACAGCAGAATATAGGATCGTTATGTCTCGCTTCCGGGACAAAATGTCAAAAGATCCACAAAACCAGTAATATATTTTACAACATGACCTTGCGTGATTATGAAGAATAGAGACTAAGGAAACTTAGATTAAGCATACCTCGAATATGTTTTGGAATATGATCTTCAATTTCTTCCTTCAGAATATCTGAAAATAAAAATGGATAAAGGAATACTTAGTGAATTAGTTTTAAATAATTAATTTCAGGGTAAATTTCACTCATTTTAGAACCTTTTAAATATATATCTTCAACAATATTTGTGTTCGATAATTTATTGTCCAATACAAAACGGGAAATTATTCTGATACATATCTCTTATAAATAAGAAGACAAGGTGGTAAATGTAATTGATAAACCAACATTACAACAAAGGTTACTTGCACATGAACACATATTCTTGAACAGTAAAGACATAAATATACCATATATTATATATAGCCCAAAAAATCTTCAAAGATACCAACCAGTCTGAAATTTTGAACTTCGTGAATTTATCCCTTCTAAAAATCGTGACATCTGTTTATCTGTTTAAGCTCTTACGGGAATAATTTAGAACGCAATTGAAATTTATGAATAAATGATGATTGTTTGTTGAGATTAGATGATATCATTAATATGTTGATTGATAGTTTGCATGTGAAACACGAGAACATACTGCTGGTCATTCATTTAACACTGATGTAATAAGATTATATGAACAGTCCTGGTTCTTGTGATTTCTTTGAGACAAGATGGGTACCACTATTTGTTTTATTAAATGTTTTTTTTTATTTTGATGACTTGTGGCATTTATACCACAAGGAATCTCTATATAACAATCTGAAATCAGTGAAATCATTTTCTGATCTAAGAAATAACATAAATATTCTCTTAAAATGTATATTACTGAAAAGATTTGAAATACTCACCAAGTATTCCCTTGTTTTCCTTAGTTTCATGAAAGAAAAAAAATTGAGAAGGACAGTTTACCTGAAGCTATATTTCAACTTCAATTAATGTTAACAAGGACACAAGTCAAAATGTTTAACAAAAACTCAGAAACGGGCAAAAACCATTATTGAAGGGAAATAACTTATATAAGAAATTGATTTTGCGATGTTTATTAATAAAAGATCTTGTTTTGCTGATCAATATTGTTGTTTACAGTTTCTCTGTATTTATAATAAATGTTTTAGTTTTCCAAAAAAATGTCATAAAAAAACAAAAACATGTCATATAATTACAGTCAAACTACCATAAAAATTACTCAAAGATACTAAGCTGATAATTTGGTTCGCCAGATTCTACAGTCAACTCGAATAAAAAAAGTTGGAATGCCAAATTAAAAACGAAGTTAGAGCATTAAATACAGTACCCAAAAATTCCACAAAATTGTGCCAAATAATTGCTAAAGAAGTAAATTCATTTAGGTAAAAAATACTTAAGGTTTACGAATACAACATTTTATTAACAGTTAATTCATAACTCCTATAATGAGTTGATTGCCAATTCCCTTCTTATAAGTATATCTTGATTATTATAATTATTATGCAATACATTGTATTTACAATTAAAACACTTGTTTTGATTATATGTTTTTAAATCAATGCTAGAAATGTCAAAAATGTCAAAAAGTTTAACTACTTTGGAATAGTGTATTGTCAGTTTCCGTCAATTTGTATCTAAATATAAATAGATATGATATGATTTCCTATGACATAACTATCCACGATATACAAAATTACCTAGATTTAAGCAATTATAGGTTACCGGTTCATGATTCAAAGGTGATCAATATCGATACCGTATATAAAGTAAGGATTTATGGTAGGATTACAAATGAAAAAACGATTCAACAGAGTACATATGATGTGGATTTAATTATTATAAGCAATTTTAATTTTACACAAAAATGCTCCAACAGAGTTATAAGGAAGAACCACTGAACCACATTTCACAGTCACCTTTTCGAATTAGTTGACCGATATGATATGTCTGTGTTTCAACTAACCAGCGACGTGTTTTCGCAGTCATCGATATTAAGATATGATAAAAGTTGTCTGAGCTATAATTGTACCGATTGTTTCCTATTCCCGATTTAGACATTTTTTTACTGAGTGTTGAATCGCACGTCACGCTTACTTTGTCAACACACCTGGTCTCGATCCTTATGGAGTTCATAAGAGTTATTGCTGTTTATATTAGGTTGATCTAAAGTAGGTTCTATTGGATACATATCCGCAGTCTTATTAGAGAATTCTTGATTTTTTTAAGCAAATATGTCATCAAGATTACGACCAGTGGTTTAAAATTTATCAATGAAATGTACTTCACTAAACTGTGATTCTTAACAATACAGGAACAAGACTACTTTACTTCACCTTAAAATGTTTTTTACAGTGTTGTTTCTATGTTCTGTACCTTTGTATTTATATTTACTTCATTTTTACTTCATCGAGAAAATGTACATACTATATACGGTATGTACTATCAACGACAAACACTTTTGTTTTTGACGTTATTGTACTATCTATTTAACCTTTTTTGTTAGTGTCTTTGTTGGAATAATTTGTATGTTTGCTTGAATTCTTAAGTCAGTTTTTTTGTTATATTTTTTTTTATTAGGCGCAATTGGTGCCCATAAGAATATCTACAACATGTCGATAAACTCATCACAGTTCTGGTAATTATTTCTAGGATATTTACCTGTTTCATGACAGAAGTTTAGTTATCTATAAAAGGCATACAATTGCCAAAATGTAAAAAAAAAAATACGATAAAACAAGGTTTACAATAGACTTAAATGTCTTCTCCCCCCCCCCCCCCACCCCCCACTCAAAAAAAAAATCCTAACGACAAGCAATGACTGGTGTCAAGTGATAGGAATATCTCTTTTTGGTCAAACTGTACCCCCAAAAAAATGAAGCTATAGTCTAGCTAGACAGCTTTCTGTAGTGTAAGGGAAGTTTTATTGTAACATATTCATTTGTAAATTTCACATACCCTTTCTAAATTACTTATCTTTTTCTGTAAACCGTTTTCTAAATCTTTTAATTCTGTTTGCACTCTGATAAACTGGCTGTCTGTTTCTGAACACAACGTCTGAACATATTCACTGAGAACATGCGTATGTTGACTGATTTCCTCTACTATCTCTAAACCAAGAGTTGTTCCACTCAGAAAATTATGACCTGTGAAAAAGAGATATTGAATTTATAGTATGAGGTATGGTGTTATGATACCTGTTGTAAAACATACCGATAACTTAATGATTTGTGCTTTGTCGAAGCACGGTATCATAGTTTGAGTGTTCTGTAATTTAGTCACATTTGTGTATTTTTCGTATTCTGTAATCTGTGTCTTTTAAAATATTCTTTCCTTTATGATAATGTTATGTCATATGTTATATTTGTCACGTTTGTATATTTTAAGCTGTTTTGGATGCATTTTTTATTATCGGTAAAAGAGAGGCGAAAGACACCAAAGCGACATTCAAACTTATAAGTTAAAAAATAAACTGACACTGACAACGCAATGGCTAAAAATGAAAAAGACCAACAGATAACAATAGTACACTAAACACAACATAGAAAACTAAAGACTGAGCAACACAAACCCAACCAAAAACTGGGTATTAAGTCTTATTCGATAGGTCACATGCAGGCGCTACTGGAATGTTGCTACATAGAAATGGAAAGTTCATAATTTGGATGCTGAAATCATCTCTTTTTTGTCGTAAAGCTTTGTTATCAACCGAACCTCATTGTCAATTTCTAGATGTATTTTAGGTAAAACAATATAGTTTGCCTGATTTGTAGATCTTTGTTATTCTTGTTATTTTTGCAATTCACAATCGTGCGTCTTTTAAACTATTTAAATCATTTTCAAAAATGCAAAAATGTCGAACACTGTTAATTTCTTTGAAGTGGCTTATTATTTCCAAGTTGTTTTTGAAGATAAGGAAATGTGGATTGATTCTTAATATGATAACTATCCATCACAGACCGAAGAACGTGGATTTGAGCAACTATATATCACCGTACATGGTTCACCAAAGCGCAAAATCAGTACAAAATATACCGTTTTTGTAAATAAAGACGTGGATATAAGCAATAATAGGTCACCGTACGGCCTTCAACAATGAACAGAACTAATACCGTATAACCTTATATTAACAGTCCCGAAATGCCAAAATGATCTACTATTCAAACGAAGGCTTATTTGTATCTATGAAAACATGTAATTACAGTTTTAAGATTGTATGAAAATCCCTTACTTAATAATTTACTAGTTATACCTAGATAGAGTTCATTGAATCTCAAACGTCACTACCGACACGGGCATATCGAACGAACTGGAAAATCTATACAAACTGTAAGAATGAACCTAAGGAACATCGTCGTCCAATAAGGAAAATTAACAATAGGGACGAAAACACATTTCTTTTGTCGTAAATTTTTAATTTGATATTACCGTGGGAAACGCAAATATCAAAATCTAGAAGGGGTATTGTTGTCAAAATACAATATGTTAACAAGGTTCTCTTGGGTAAGTTCCGCAGTATAATCAGATAATTCTTGATTATTTAAAGCAAAAGTGTCATCAAGGTTATAGTAGGTGTTATTACAAATTAGACGGATCTTTACTGAATGTGATTCATAATGATACAGAAACAAGTATCCTATGTTCAAACCAACATTATACTAAATTGTCTACAAAGCTACTCAACAGTACCGGATTGTCTGCAAAACAAAATGTCTGAACAGTACGTAATTGACGCATGAAATCTATATCGTGATGTTTTCATTTCTTTACAGCACTGGGTCGATACCTCTGCTAATGGACTATTAGTCCTCAAATGTATCATCAGCTCAGTTGTCAGTACTTTAGTACGGACATGATTTATAACAAACCTTTCTAAAATTGTCTGTTTACAAATTTTGAAATTATAAGAAAACTTAGGTAGCAACATCCTCAGGCAAAATTGACTTTAAATGGATTTGGCTAATATTTTTGGTCCTTTTTGATTATATAGGTCTTCACCTGTTTCGGTTCTTTTACATCACTGGCTGCGAAATATTCGGCTTTGAGCGTTCCTGATGAAGGTAAATTCATAAAAGCGCTTCGGACGCAAGAAATGTAACGTGTTGTTTTAGTTTTTGAATAACAAGAAATTATCTGAATAAAAGAAAAAAAATCACGAGAATTGAAGTTGTTAATTCATATTTTTCAAATGTTGTTTAGACCAAAACAACATTTAAAAACTAAAAAAGGACCTGAAAAAAAAATAAAACAATTTAACTAGAAAACTAACTATGTTGCTTTGAGTTTAAAGACGGATTTCAGCAGGCTCGAAATCTTTCTTGTCCTCAAGAACAAATCTTAACAACAAGGACAGACAATGACTTATGTCGAGCAACGGTACTTGATCACATTGATCTTTGATACAGATTTGCCCAAAAAAATCCATAATTTTACAAATTTCACGAACAGTGTAGGTTAGAGTTTATTTTGAGTTTCCTGCGTACAGGTACTGTTATATGTAATTTATTTTGGTTCAACTGCAAATAATATCAAAGATCAAGATGTTGTGTCAACTGTGATGTTGGTCACATCAATACATGTACATGAATATTGGTAGTGTCATCAATATATCTTGTGTCATTTGTGAGTTAGGTAACAGAAGTATAGTGCGTGTAGTCTGTGATAAGGGTCACGACAATATATTTTGTATTGTCTTTATCTTTATAAAGTCTCAACTTTTGTGTTTTATATTATTTAGCATAACACTTTTTGTTGTGTACAAGTACGTACAAGCTCAACTACTGACAGGGTAATATAAAGTTCATGATAACTCGTAACAGTTATTCAGTTTCTGAATGAAATAAGATACATTTAGCATACAATACATATTTTATCATTCGGTACCATTTGTTGCCCACGTGTTGAGTTCTCCCAATATACTGTTTTCCTCGTTGTTACTAAGTCGAAGGTCCTTAACAAGTTGTCCCAATAAATAGAATGAATCTGTATATTTCGTAGCAGTCCATTCTCTGAAGTCACAATGTGCCCAGGGATTACGTATGTCTGCTCTTATCTAAATAATTGAAAATGAGAAACATTTGGTCAATCCAATAAATAATGACAAGGAAATTGTATCCCAAAAATCAAAGGAGAAAGTATAATTTAAGAGCAGATTTTACCCCGAAATCAAATACATTTAAAACTTTTATCAATTGCCAAACTGAATGGTTTTTTGCGTGCTTATTTCTATAACACATCGCTTTCTTTTGGATACAAGTATTTCTATTGCATGGGTTATATAGATATGCCCTCTGAGAAGTTTTCAAGAAGCATTAGAGTACACACGCAATTACTCTACTATCTTAAAAATTGATACCTTTTCAGCATTGGCTTGTACAGCTGTCGGGAATGAACTGATGTTGACGACCATACTAAGAAGTGCAGATAAGTCACATGACTCGTCAATTGCTGAATATTGAGCCATACTATGCTTTAGGAACAACTTTGACAAATCCACATGGCTTGTTACTTTGTAATCATATTTCTGGTAATTATTTTTCCATGTTTTGCGGATATTAATCTTTGGAACATTTCTGTTTGTGTTGATTGAATCATAACTAAGTGAATGTGTATTTGTTGATGGGTATTTCTCCAGAAATCCAGGATAAACCTGTGTATTGATTGAGTGGCTAGATACCAATAAATTATACAGGTTTCTTACAATAGAATCAACATATTTTCTCAGCATGGGAGAAATAATTGATTGAAGGCATATCCCAATGATCAGCCATCTTTTCGTTTTCTCATCTAAATCTCCTGATGGACCTTGGAACAAATGAAGGTAGTAGAATAAAATACACAAAATATAATGCATTCCATCGCTTTCCATTCTAAAGAGTTTTGTTTATCCAGGTACAAATGAAGCTAGCATGTTTAGATGCGCCACATTCTGTGTATGTCAATCCAAAGTCAGGATCTTGTTTTTCAGTGGCTGTCGTTTGTACTGATTATCATATTTGTTTTACGTTGATTATTTTGTACATAAATCATACCTTGTATAGTTTAATGAGCGGTGTTGGTCTTGCTCAATGTTGAAGGCCGTACAGGGACCTTAAGTTGATAACTTCCATATTTATTTGGTCTCTGATGGAGAGTTGTCTCATTGGCAATCTTACCACATCTTCTTATTTTTATATTACATCCTTTCAAGGGAAAGCTGTTTTGAGATCATTAATAATGTTACTTTCTTTCTGCTATTGCTACACATTTAACACATATCAAAAGGTTCCGATTTTTATGAAATCAAGTTTTTTTTTTTACATGTGGAAAACCTGTAATGTACAGTGAAAAGTAAGATACAATACATATATTAATATATAGATCCCTGCGGTTTTTTTTGGTTTTTTTTATCAGGGATAATGTCTATACAAATATATAAGTACAAGTACAGTAATAATCACTGCAAAAGGTGCCTAATTTTTGCGTTAGAGTTATCCCCTTTAGTCATTAATATATGCCTAAATTGTACTCATGACTGTTTGAAAATAAGAATAGCGCATGCTAATGTATTTCTAAATGACCCAAAATTAACATTAAAACCATTATACCATTTTTAACGTAAATCGCGGACCACGGTGCTTGCCTAGACTGTTTGAGGTCGTTGGTTAGATCCTAAGTTAGTTCTAACCAATGTATTGAAATTTACATGTGATACTTATCTATTAAACAAGCGGAACGTTTGGCTAATATCAAAGACTTGTTGGTTTCGAATTAGAACGTGCCTTGTTAGGGAGACATGTCTGCGGATTGTTGCCTTTGTGGAATAACACGTTCAAATCCAGCTCAGGGTGATGGTCTGGTACAAAGCAGATTACATATTTATATCTCATTATCGTGTTCTCGTCTAGTATTTGCCACTGGACATAAAAAAAAACACACCTGTCATTTGTTCTGACTTAGCATAAAGAAATAGTTGCAAGTTTTACCATTCGAGTAGTACTTAATATAATTCATAAATATAATTCAAAACCTAGTGTATACCTGTAGTTTTTGATACTTTGATGTGTATATCTTCTACTTTTCTCTGTAAATCTTGTGGTATTGTCCGTTCTAATGTCCTGGGTTTCGTTAGGTCAGCCATGCTGTTATTTCTAATCTAGCCAACACTTCATTTTATTTAAACGGTTATCCATTATAGAGTTATTCCCTTCCTTTAAAATAAAAAAAAATAACAAAATGATCATACACTTATCATAGATATTAGACTGAAAATCATGTCACATGCACTCATCAGTATACATTGGCATCAAAAAATGAAAATGATTCCTAATTTTCTAATTTAAAGGAACACGTTTTTGCACATTTTAATCATGTTAAAGATGTCAACAGATTCATGTATCTCTATTGTATTCATTGTTTATTTCCTTAACATATGTACCTTTGTATTTTTGTAATACTATGATGTCTATGTTCTGCCGTGTGCCATTGTATCTATAGCAGTTCATCAGAATATAATACAGTATCACGATACATGTATTAACCTTACGATTATATAATTGGTCGGTATTTCAGATTGTTATAAACTTTGTATAGATTTAGAACTAATTAAAATGCACCTGAATATCGACCGATTTATACATGTAACATGTTTGCTCCCAAAGATACATGTACCATTAAAGAATAGGTGACCATGTATTCATGTTCCCCAATTATTTATTTCATTTACTTAAAGAAATATATGAGACTTCATAAAATGAAAGTATATATTTTTTATATGAATGAAATAACAAATTGGCAAATGTACATGATGTAAACCTTTTTTTGATTATTGTACACCTGATTTCTTAAAGGGTCATTAGCTGTCAAATTAATGTTCACCGATTTGACTCAAATTTTTCATATTTGATTTATAATATACTCAAACGTATATCCAAATTATAAAGAATCTAAAATAAACAATTTACAATGCATGGGCTCGATAACATGTATCAACATTTCGTGTGTATTTTAGTCTAGACACCATCTAATTAACCATCGAGGTGAACTCCGAAGACTGCCGACGGTCATTTAACCCGATATAAACATAAATATAGATATACATAGATAGCGAACTCGTAAAATTTGATTTTTCTAGGTTTTTACCCGCATAAGAATGAGTTTTGATGGATCGAACCAGTCAATTAAATGGTTTACCCTTGTTTCACTTTCATTGTTGACATTCTTTTCCTTTTAATTACTAAACACGCTTAATTCATGCGTAACCAATCTCTAGCTAAGGGGTTAAATTGAAGGTCGAATGAATACGGATTATATGATGTCGAATTATTCCCTTGCAAGTGAATAATTCATCAGCGATGTTTCTTGCTTATTTTGACAAAAGTGAAACAAACTGGCTTCTAAAAGTAAATTATTTTTTCACTATTTCACTTTCATTTATGATTGAACAAGAAAAAATCATATTTTACTTTTTTTTTTATCTCGTAGCTAATGCCCCTTTAAGCTTTTATAAGTCCAAGAGAGTGGTTTTGGAATTTAAGGAGTCGTTTTCAATTATCTTTTCTGATTATCTGGTTCAATCAATTAATCATCGGACCGATGAAAAGTAAAATAACAAAAATACCGAACTCCAAGGAAAATTCAAATCGGAAAGTCCCCTATCAAATGGCAAAATCAAAAGCTTAAACACATCAAACGAATTGAAAACAACTGCCATATTCCTAACTTGCTACAGGCATTTCCTTATGCACAAAATGGTGGATTAAACCTGCTTTTATAGCTAGCTAAACCTCTCACTTGTATGACAGTCACTTTCAATTATCGTTTCTGATTATCTGGTTCAATAAATTAATCTTCGGACCGATGAAAAGTAAAATAGCAAAAATACCGATCAAAGAAAATTCAAATCGGAAAGCCCCGTATCAAATGGCAAAATCAAAAGTTCAAACACATCAAACGAATGGAAAACAACTGGTACAGGCATTTCCTTATGCACAAAATGGTGGATTCAACCTGGTTTTATAGCTATAAACCTCTCACTTGTATGACAGTCGCATAAAATTCCATTACATTGACAACAATGTGTGAACAAAACAAACAGATATATAATAAGTGAAAATGTTAAAAATAAAGGGTACAGCAGTCAACATTGTGTTATAATTTTGATCACTAAAAAAACAAACAAATATGTCAACAAAGAAAAGCAAAATGGCATATAAACAAAACACATAAGCAAAAATGAAAGACAGGAATAAAAAAAAAGTTACCACTACCCAACAACACATTGGCGGGATGCATAAGTACCGAGCCACTCCAAAAGGATATTACCAAAAATTGACTAAACAGTAAAGGTTTATATTTTACAAAGACAAATAAAAGAACACTATAACACGTAATTAAGATGATAAACAACGTCAGTACCTAGAATCTATACTTCAAGACGACAAGACAATATAAAGTGACACAGCCGGTCCTTACAAACGACTATGAATTTAGAAATTGTCTGAGCACTTTTTAAATGGTTTAAACTAGCCATTAACTGCATTTCACTATGAACCATTCCCGTGCCCCTTACCAATTTGAATAACACACTGAAGCCTTTTTCAATTTACCTAAAATGGAAAATGATAAGCGAAATTGCAAAAATATCAGTTTAAATAGTAAAATGTCTCTGATACAATGCCAAATTAATTAGATTCATCTTATAATGAGTTGATAATAGTCTGATTTAAATTAACAGTTCACACGTACTCTTCACATTTTTCTATTTAAAAATATTGGCTGCAATGACCGTCCCGTCTTCTTTTGTACAAAAGATATGTTAATACATAAAAAATTTAATTAATATTTTTGTGTGCACGGATTAAAATAATAAATCGTCGAAGGTACATATTGACATGACGTATTTAATCACGGTTTAAATTGATCAAACACTTGAATAACTGATTTGTAAAGATCATTCAATTTGAATTTACAAATTATGTTTATTACGTCAATTCATTAATTATGAATTATCTAAACAATCTTTGTTTTATTCCATACAATAAAATTGTATGCCAACATTGTAGATTATGTTATTGTGTTGAGACGGTATTTTAGATTAGAATTGTAACAGTACCAAGTGGAAATACTGAAGGATACGTGATGAACATAACTAAAAGTTAAATCACAAGCCAAGTAACTACTTTAACTCCTTATCTATCATTTTTAATAAGCTAACATCCAACATCAACAAAGAGAAGAAATGTGAAGATTTGTTCACCCATGAAAATCATATTTGCCGAGAGTATCGCCCGAGGGAAATATGACTTTTCGATGGTGAACAAATCTTTGTATCTCATTAAGTCAAAGGAAAAGTAAATTATTAATTCTATGATAAGTTCAATATTTTTGTCTATGTTTTTATGTCTGAAGTAATTTTGAACACAATGATGACTATACTATCGCTATATGAAATAAAATAAAAACATTCAAATCGTCATGCACATTAACTGAGCGTAACGTCATACGGAGTAATCCTGGTATTCAGAGGGGTTATGACACTCAGAGGGGAATATGAAGTTTTGTTCAACGTCACGTGGGATAGTCCAAACCAAAAGTTGGTCTTGCTATCAATATTTACATACAGTGGAATAAAACAAGATGTAGACTGCTTATTGATGAGACAACTATCCACTAGAGACTAAACTACCTAGAAATAAGAAACAATAATGTCACAGTAAATTAAGCAAACCTATAAAGTAAGCAACAACACGCCCGACAAAAAAAATGAAAAACATTTCAAACGGGAAAACTTACAGCCTGAAAACAAAAATCACTAAACGAA